AGTGACCACTTGGAAACGGCACTACGATCACGATGCACAGACATTACTGGGGCTGGCGTCGGGAGAGGAGGCATGGGTTCAACCAATATCCGATGTTCAGGAGTGGTGGAAGGAAGGTATTGTGAGTGCCAAGTCGGTGCGAGGTCATGCGGAGTAAATGTTGGAGGGAAAACCCTCAGCAGAAATCGAGTTCAGTTGAGACAACACCGGAGACAACGATGTGTAGTACTCTCTATCGTGGGACGAGGAAACCACTGCGGCAAATACTGCAAAAACGATGCGCATTGGTCAAATGTACGGAGTGCCTAGGAATATGGAGACGCAAGGACACGAGAAAAGGAGGATGTGGATCAAACGAACGAGCGAGACAACTAATAGGAGACGCACATAACGGATTTGATCACTGAATACGGGTTGGCCAACCTTCGTTTGGGTTACTTGCCATTTGTTTAATTGAATCAGAGTAGGTACCCCACCGGCTCATAGGGGTCCTTAGTTATGAATATGAACAGCCAATTTGTATCGAGGAGTTTGGCTTGCTAAATATGCTGTACATTTCGTCAAGTTGACTTTACCGAATAACTACTTGTCCGTGAAGGACTGCATTTTGCAACAGTAAGCAACACGGTAATCGTACATTACACTGAGCTCGCACTAGTGAGTATTAGTTAGGCATGTGCTAAACCAAGCTTGGAGTATATTAAAATGAATCAAGGGAGGCAGAATCTGAGTGAAGAATTCTTTTCGGTAATTCTCATCAGACTCAAACATTACATGATGAGGAAAAGTGCTAAATGTGCCGGATTGGGCTGCGTATTGAACACAATGTTTAATTCCACGGGTACAAATCAATAAATCACGGAGTCATTGGGAGTGGCAAGTATGTACAGGGGAATTCATAGCCGAAGTTGTAGGCCACGGTAGAAGCAAAGGACGTACAAACTGTTTTTGTACGCACAATTCTGGCTTGAGGTGGCGGATGTAGATAGCTTCCGCAATAGACAGAAGAGGCATCCGGAATCCGCGCGTGAAACGTTCAGGAACAGCATAAATGACTCTAAAATCATTTTCCGTCCCTGCATGACTGCACTCTAGTAGGTGGGATAAGATGGAACTGTTGCTGGACCTCGCTTCGCCTTTGTAAAACCACTCAGATTCTGCCTCCCTTGATTCGTTTTAATAAATGGGAATTTTTGGATTGCTGAGGACCAGCATTCCCCGTGATTCAGTCAAGCTCTTGGAGTATATGTTCGTACGGTAGATCGACCAGGCACCACGTATCGACACGCACCGCTTGTGGTGATAGCGGTGTCGGTCGTAGTTCGTGGTAACCCATCACTCTATGGGTATCAGGTGACCAAATGTCATCAATTACACCAAATGGTGTTACTGCCGAAGTAAAGGTTGTAGTCGGCACGTAATCGAGGAACCTGGTCGCAGACATCTGTCTTATAGGCATCGATTCCGAAGTTGGTTCCGACAAACTACCCAGTGTAGTGTTTATGTCATCCGTATCTATCTTAATATCGGCCTCTTTAGTCATGCGTGTCCACCGGCTAGCCATGCTCGTATGATAACGAGGTTTTTGCAACAAATAACCGGACTTTGACGACACACTACAGCATACCTTGACCTTTCCCGATCAATCCAGTCCAGTTTTACGCTGCTAACGTGCGCAGACTTCCTTCCGAGGCTCTAAGCCAACTGTCTCACATTGACGTTTCTGAGAGATACTAAGCGACTTTTACGATCTGCCTTTGTCACTTTACTGGTGTGCCATTTGATGCCTCTACTCGTTGAATGATTGTGGCCCCGCGGATGTGTTAGTATTTCATTCTACGCATCCGCTTCGCTTCCGCCCTCTAGTCACCGTTGTGGTCGTCAGCCGGTTGGTTTATCGAAAAGGAATAGACCTGCTTGTGGCAATCATTCCCCCCATCTGCGCTTTGTTCCCACAAGTGCGCTTCCTTATCGGTAAGTTACCGTTTCATTTGCTTGCTTTTCGGTCTCTGTCTGCAGACCGCTGTCTTGCTGAGGAAATCCTACCTTCATCACCTTTCCTGCTACCGGTGTGCATTGAATACGACTTCTGCATCCAGACTATGCATTTCCCTTGAGCTCGTATTGTATTTTATTCACGGGTTTTTAAATCCATGGGTGACTGAATTTGAACTTTCCTTTTCCGCCGCATGCCATCTGCTATGATGCTGAAAGCCTTGCTGGAGCTGCAGTACACAATATTTATGACAGCGACCAAACAACTCGTACTGTCTTTTTTTACTTCACATGAGGACTATTCAGTTTCTTTCTACTGTCTCATATAACGCCATCAAGGTTATTCTGTATGGTCAGGTGATATCCGTAAAAAGTAATCTGTCTAACTTCAAGTACCTTTACTTGCGATCTCAGTTAGCTACCTCTCACTCGATCCTTCCTCGGTTTCCTCTATATGGTCGGGCGTCTTCTCTATATTCATGTTGTATTCTCCAATTACTCTTATCCCCTCATTATTTGCACCGGGGAACATTGCAACGACCATCCGGGCACAGCGTATTCCATGCTGTGCTGATGTTAACAGAGCGTCTAAAGCCCCACATCCCCTACCAACATGTTTGCAGATGAGAGATAGAAACACCCACAATTTCCTGTGCGTCACTCAGTCAGAGTGACGGAGTTATGTGATTTGGGAATTTCTGCAAAAAATCAACGCGAAGTGGGTTCACAAACATTGGTGAGGTGTATACCAGTTAGGACAGATCAGATGACCCCAACCGCCTTCAGTTTGCATATTTCGTCCTGTGATTCCTTTCTTTCTGAGGCCTAGAAAGCTCGCACAACGAGTTGCAGTGTGATATGACTCAGGGTAACAGGTTTACGTGGTGTGTTCAAAAAGGAACCGAACTTTTGAAATAGGGCGCCAACTGGCACCAGGAGCGCAACGGCTACTGGGCGCATGTCGTGACTTATCTAGACAACAAACTGCCGGTTGCCGCATTTCGCTATGGCAGTTAGCTGGCGAGCTACAGCCGCTAAAGTGAGCGCGTGCACAAGCTGTTCGTCGAAGTAGTGCCAAAGAGACAATACAATTGCTTGAAGAACAACGTGTGTGTGTGTGTTTGTGTGTGTGTGTAAACTTTTCTTACAAACAGCAAAACTTTTACAGTGGTATTTCAGTTTATTAGTTGACCATACGGAGAAGACTGTATGAGTCGCACGCAGTGCTACAAGTGGTCTAGGTGTTTTGATCAGTGATGATCCCAAGCCTAGACGAATTTCCACATCAATAGACGATGACCATGTCGAGAGAGTTCGTTCCGTGATCCTTGGAAATCGTCGTTTAACTGAGTTAGATGTTGCTGACGAAGCTAGCATCAGCGTCTGATCATACCATCAAATTCTAGCGCGTTTGAAAGATGTTGTATGCGGGAAGAGGCATGGACTGTGGGAAAATCAGAATTGGATGTTGGATCATGACAGTCGCACTCAGTGCTCATGCATCGCTCCTTGTCCGCAGCCATCTAACTAAACATCACACTTCCGTTGTGCCCATCCACCGTATTTTCCGGACCGACTCCCTACATACTTTTTCTTGTTTCCCAAACTTAACACCGCGTTGAAAGGATGTCATTTCCGAACCATAAAGGACACTCAGGACAACGCGACAAGAGATCTGCGCACCATCCCCAAAAGTGTGTTCCATTAGGCTTTCCAAGCATGGAAACACTGTTGGGAACGGTGTATTGCCAGTACTGGGAACCACTTTAAGAGGGAAAAGTGCTTAAAATCTTGTGCAATGAGCAATGAAGATGTTATAGCAAAAGTTCGGTTTCTTTTTGAACACCCCTCGTATTCCATTGTTGGATAGCTGCATTCTGTCCAAGACTCTACTGTAGACTAGCTGGTCTGTCCAGTTTCGTAATGACTGCAACATAGTTGCTTTCACATCTGCCATTATGTCACTTCCGCAATGTTATTTCTCGTTATGAGTTTGTTATTTAGCACGATCACGATAAATTCCTATATGGTTCACAAAGTTTCCATCAGCTTATCAAATCTCAATCTCGAACGTACACGAAACCCAGTCAAGCTTTTCGTTCTTGCCAATATTCCCAGCGAGCTCCGATTCATTTGGACGACATGGTTCGGCTTCACAGACCACGGCCTCAACCGACAGAGAATGTCACATTGAAGTGGATTACGACCATCTCAGTCGATCTGGCTGTAATTGTCGGAACTTGGCCATGCTACATATGCTGCCGGAACCCCAGCCTGTTACGTCTGGCACATAGGAGGTAGTTTGAGTTCCAATCGTTGGCTTGATATCAGGACGGGCCCTGAGCATTCGGTTAAATGGACTCAGCAGGTGATACGCACTGGACGGCTCAATTAAGATCTGACTCTGTCACATATCGCGTAGTGGACTGTATTAGCTGAGTACCACTTTGATTACTGTGATGTGCTTTATTCATTTACTAACTGCGGATTTACTAGTCGGTGTTCATAACCAACAAGGCTTCCAGTCCCATCCCGCAGCTCTTCGAATGGTGACACGCGTGAGATCCTGAACTACAGTTTTAGTAGACGCGTTGACTTCGATCGTCATTTCTGGGTCGTCGTTTGGATAAAATTGTTTTGGTTGTAAACATTTCGATGCTGCTTGGTGTGCTCCTATTTGTTTCAGAGGCTGTGTTTCCCTGATTTTTAAACAAAAAGCTTTTCGATCGTTTATTACCCGGTGGTTTACAAACTGCTAAATCGCACTTCAGTATGTGACTCAAACTCTCTGGCAGAACAAGTTGGGCGGTTCGTCGAATGACCACAGTCAGCTGGCGCAGCCCATTCCACCAATTGAAAACCGTCAGGTGTGATGTTTCAAAGACTTATTATCTCGTCGTCTTGTCTTACACATTTAAGCTGCGGGCCGTCATCAAAGAATCTAGCCTTGGTCGATATCCAGCTATCGGAAACCACTTCATTTTTCGATTTTCTTTTTTGCCCAGGTGGCGATGGGCCGAAGCGTTTAGACTTGGAAGAAATTCGTGAACGACACCAGTTGCATGCACGTGTTACACTTCTTGGAGGTCTGTCTCCGGAAGAAGTTCGCGGGGTGAGTTTCCATCGCTCAACTATTGGCATCACCGTACAATTCCACGAGCCTTACGTACAACGCTGATGGTATTTTCACTCTTTACAGGTCCTTATACAAGGGGATATTTTCCTCAACACTTCACTCACTGAGGCTTTTTGTATTGCTCTGCTTGAAGCCGTTTCCTGCGGGTGAGTTTGGTCTCACCATTTTTTTTCTTGATCTATGTTCCATGCACTGGAAAGACGTTTGGCAAAATGATGGCGCTTCCACCAGATTCGCGACCCCGTTCTTTATATACGGCATTGTTCATACAGCTCTCTATTGCGTTTTAAACTAATTTCTCTGCGCATATTTGAATCGAGGCTGAAGTGGACTTACTGATCAAATCACTCTCCATCCAGCTTTCACACTTCGCTCGTTTTGTGTCTGGAATCTATTGAAACGCACATGGATCGCTTCGAACGTACCACTTCTAGTTACATCTCATGATTTTCCGCTACAGGCTTCTTGTTATTAGTACCGGTGTTGGTGGCGTTCCAGAAGTGCTCCCGCCTGAATATATCCGATTGGCCCCAGCACGCGCTTCCGATCTTGCAAGTTGTTTGTCTGAGGCCATCGCCGAGGTGTTGGAGCAACGCCGGCGATCAACCTCCACAGTAAACGCATCCGAAAAACAGGTTAGATGTTTACTCTTGTCGAACTTCCATATCAATACCACGAAATCTTGCTTTTTATATGGATATGTTTTTACAGTAACTGTCCACTCTGACACACTAATCCACTCCATTGTTACACTTCTCTTGGTCGGAGAATGTGCAACGGCCCCATTATCAGTTACTGTTCGCACTTTTGACTTATTTTCAGCTGTTGCTTCAGAAATCGCCGCATCACTCGCCCATCTGGCTGGATCAATTTGTGATACAGTGCAATTCTACATCGGTTACCGGGGCACTCACCGAGCTGTTACATCTGTTGATGAACACCTTTCCTTTCTTTGTGCGCTCATTTGTCTTACTTTTCCACGTAACTCGCATATCGTTAATGGAAGCGGTAGCCGATTCGTTGTTGGCTCCACACTGGCATCTTCATCATCATTATACACGTCAGCTAGTGGTGGGAAACATCTCAGCAACTGTGCCGCAATACACAAAGGAAAAGGAAAATAAATACAATAGTCGCATGCCAGCTGAGCTACCAGCAATGGATAGGCATTGTTCCGGTAAGTTACCAGCCGGCTACTAGGCAAAAAGAAAAATTATTATGTTTTACTCTACGAAATAAGATCGTAGGTGGAAGGGGAGGCTAAATGGGATGGGGAAGGACAAAGAAAATCACAGCAGGAACGCCACTGAGGTCGGCTTCTTGTCATGTCAGCAAGGGTATCCAGCCAAACGTGTTCACCGCCTTTTGGAGCCGTGACGCTCCAACCGAGGCCAGCTCCGAAGTGAGGGCCTTCATTCCTCTGGACCAAGTCATCGCTTCTTCCATCCACATCCTCGGCGAGCAAACAACGCACGTCGTGGAAGCCAGTGGGCTGGCATGCGTCACACGTGGCCCAGCCATCGGAGCGTGGTGTGTGAAATGACGGTGCTGAGCGGTTCATTTCCTTTGCCTGTGCCGTAAACAAGGCGTCGAACACGCTCGTTACTCACGCGGTGTCCCCACCAGATGTGAGCCGAACTGCGAATGGCCCCGATGGTCGAACCTAACTAGCCTCTTCGTGTCCGCTGATCTTAAGGGCCAGTTTTGGTAACCCTACAGTAGGATCGAACGTACCGCTGCATTGTACACTCTACCCTTCAGGGCTAGAATAATATCGCGCCGCCGGCATAGGTGGCGAAGGTTAGCAAAAGCACTTCGAGCTTTTGCTATACGGTTTGTGATCTCATCTTCGATCCCAAAGGCGTTGATACAACTTCCCAAGTAGTTGAATTTTTGAACGACTTCTAGCGGATACCCACCAAGTGTCAGCGCAGGAGGTGGTCCATGCCAGTCTTGGAGGAACGCTTTGCACTTCGAGGGTGCAAAGCAAAGCCCGAATCGGCTGACAGCCAGTGTTAATCTGTCCAGTGTCGCTTGACACGTTTGTGAGCTGTCACAGATTAGGGCAATATCATCGGCATACTCTAATTCAAGAAGTCGTTCTCCTGGGAGCAGATCCACACCTTCTAAGTCGTGTCCTGTGAACGCGATTTCCATGACTTCGTCAATAGCGTAGTTGAAGAGGAAAGGTGACAGCGGGCATCCTTGTCTCACACCGCTAGAGATATTGTAGCTTGGCGACAGCTTGACCTCACTCTGCCCGAGCTACGCGCATATAATGCTCGGATAATATTTACCTATTTCTCAGGTACACCTTTCCTGAGTAGACAGTCCCAAAGTGCATGTCTATCCACCGAATCGAATGCACCTTTGATATCGAGGAACACGACAACGGTGGGCCGCCAATTTATGTGACGGTGCTCCAACAACTGACGCAAGGTGAAGATATGGTCGATGCAGCCACGACTCCGGCGAAAACCGGCTTACTCCTCACGCATCTGGCTTTCACGAGTGTCAGTCAGTCTGTGAAGAATTATGGAGGCGAGTAATTTGGAGGCGATGGAGATCAGACTGATTCCTCTATGGTTGCCGCATTCCGAACGCGAGCCTCCTTTGAAGATGGGAACAATAACCTAGCGGCTCCAGTCGGTTGGAACAGACTCCTGCTCCCACAGTTTCACTCGTAATTCATGTAAAGTATCAACAAGAGTAGAGCCACCGAATTTGAAGAGGGCTGGAAGAAGATCCTCTGGTCCCGCGGCTTTGTTCAACTTCAACAGTCCGATCTCACGTTCGACTTGTGAGCAAGAGGGTGGATCCAAAGGGACAGCCCACGGAGCAGGGCGATCACTGGCCGGCGAAGAATCGAACAGTTCTAGCCGATTAAATTGCTTTTCAAAATGCTCAGCCCAACGCTCGAAACGTTTTGACAAATTGTGGATAGGCTGTCCACTCTCGTCACGTGTTGTTTCACAAACATCAGGTCTCCTGCTGCCCGTTTCCCGTACCAGACGGAATAACTTACGATGGTTGCCAAGTGCAGCGGCCACTTCCATCTCTGGCGCACGATGAGATCACCAAGATTCGCGGTCTCTCTTCAGGCTAGCACGGAGTCTTGTCCGGAGCTCTTTGGGAGTTTCGCTGTGTTCGATTCCAGCCGGAATATGCCGGCGAGCATCGATAAGTTCCAGAGACCGCGAAGAGACCCAATGTCCATGTTGGCTATTAGATATACCACATGAGGATTTGCCTGCTGCTAGTAAGGTCTGGCGAACATGTATCGGATCTTTATCGCCTCCAATCCCGTGTGTGCGTCCGCAGTGCACCTTCGCTCATGTGTCCACAACGATCCGCAGTTTAAGGGACTGCGGGTCAAACCAATAGCTCATTTTTCCACAGTACCAATAACGATGAGAGTTGGTGTAAATAACTTACTCAGGCTGGAGAGAGAGAACTTCACCGGAAGTGGAATGTACTTGACATCACAACCATCTCAGCAATGGCGTGTCAGCAGCTTGGACGAAACGCACCAGCGCATACCAGTTTTTCGGTCATATTGTCCATACTTTTGTGCCGTGTGGCCGTCAGCTCTGCTTGGGACCTCATGTGACCAAGCTCAGTATAGATCTCAGTGGTTTTCTCACGTATGCTAATTAACGTGGCCCACTCTTCTTACACAATGCAGATGTATCAGTGGGATCATTGTAAAACCGGTAGTTTCGCTGTTACATCCCAGTGAGTGAAATTCAGCGTCCCTCATTATTTGGTCCCAGTCAACACGATGTTTGAAACGTCACCTGACCTTTTTGTAATTTCAACGCACAGCGACCATGTCCTTATTGTTTGAGATATTACTGGCCTCTTCATGTGTCGGATGTGTACTTTGTGCGAAATCACTGAATCATCAGGCTTGTTTCCATTACATCCAAGCTCCTTACGGGTATCATTCTCCGACGACTTACCGGTCCCCGTGAGAACCGAATCACTGAAAACCAGGCTGGCTTCCGCTCTAATCGTGGTTGTATCGACCACATATTTACTATTCGCCAAGTTTTAGCGCAGCGACACATACAGATGACCGACTATGGTGATTTTCCCCGAGTTGAACACCGCCTTTCATTCTGTTGAGCGCGCCAGCTTGTGGCACTGCCTATCCATGATGAACGTGTCGTATAAACTCTTTTCCATTCTTACGTCTCTACCGTGACTCTCGAACCTTGTAATGGTCTACGGTAAACTGTGTCCTGAGTTCGAAAGCTTTGTCTTATATCTCATTTCCTCTACAACTTCGTGATGAAAGTGATCATGAATCACTCAGTTATTTCAGACTCTACCGGAATGGAAGTTCTGCCAGGTGACCGACTGACAAACCTGGAGTATGCGGACGATATAGCTCTTCTTGAGTCCGACTCAGTGGATATGCAAACACTGCTGGGTAAGCTGACGCGTAGCGCCCTACGCTTCAACATGTGTTTTGCACCTTCAAAGTGGAAAATACTGCTGCAGGACTGGACCGATACACCTCCTGTTCTATCTATCACCGAACAACCACTGGAAATGGTGGATCGGTTCATTTGCCTTGGTAACTGTGTCACCTCTGGTGGTCACATCACTGAGGCGATTACTTCGCGTATCAGCAAGGCACGTGTGGCTTTCCAGAGACTCAGCCATCTCTGCATACAGCAGTATATCAATCTCCCAGTGAAAGCTAGAGTGTGCAACTCTGCGGTAAGGTTTGTGTTACTCTATGGATCCGAGACCTGGCCAGTTCGCGGCGAAGACATAAGCTTAGCGGTGTTTGGCCATCGGTGCTTGTGGAGCATTGCTCACGTCTGGTGAGAACACCGGGTGAGCAGTGCTAAGTTCCGCCAGTTGGTTTTTGGCAAGTAGCCTTCTGGTACCTCACTGGGGTGTTTGCTGAATCTTAATCGCCTACGTTGGCTAAGCTATGTCTTCCGTACGTCCGTTGACCGGCTTCCTCGGCATGAATTATACGCCGTGGCTGCTCCAAGTTGGGTGAAACCGCGAAATAGCTAGTCCATAACGTGAAATAGTGGCGTGAAGAACTTGTCTGACAGACTTGCTTACGCTGTTGCATGCTATCTTCCTGGATAGGGGCCTCGGGATGGTTCACACCAATGGCTAGAGACCGTATCTGACATGGTGCAGTCACGTATTCAGGGGCGTTCCTGCATTCGGTTTCTTGCATCTGGTTGTTGATTTTCGTTCCATTCTGATTCGTTTAACGCACTTCCCTCTCGCTTCCATTTTCTTTACATTCTGTTTGCCTTTATCCGCACTATCTTGCTGTTGTTATTTATTGTTATTCTTGCGATGTAAGTCGTGGCAACTGAATCCACTGCATTTCGGTGTTCGGATCATAGTTGATCAACTGAAATGAACTGAACTGGATGCTTTACTCTGCCAGATAGGATATTTATTCTTTCTCTGTTAGGAGAGTAGCTTTTTGACATTCATATTTTATGGCGACGGGAGGTGTTGAACAATCATGGCCGTTTCATTTGATCAGATGCAGTCCCTCCTTCAGCAGCAGCAGCTTCAGTTAATTCAGTTGCTATCAGGAAAGCTGAACATCCAAGCGGATTGGGAACCGGAACCCAGATTGATATCACAGGAAATTGCATCTGAATGCCACAAGCCGCTCATTTTGAATCATGCCCCAGAAATGATTGAAACTTCAGAGCCCAGAACAGAGTCCCAGTTTTTTCAAGCAGCCATTTGTGGCCAAAATGTGGATCATGATGTGATGAACCGTAAGTTCCGGACTGCATTTTGAAACCGTGGTGAAAAACATTCTGTGAAAGTTCGTGTCTACAAATATTCTCATTGTCGAGAAACACGCAACTACAAGCGCGTGCGTACTCCAAGGATGCAGGCATGCTTCAAACTGAAACGGACCGGTTTTCACAATGCATCAAGATTTTCAGGGAAAAGAAGACATTTGACAGTGAAACGCGATTATGTTCCGGTGTTACTACAGCCCCAAACAGTGTCTGCTATCACGATCGTTTCTCGATCGACAAGGACAAAACTTGACAAGTCGTCGGTCAAATCAACAAAACGCATGGCCCAAAATACACCAGGGGTACTGTTACATCCAGACAGCATGTGCACAGAAACTCAAAGAACTGCAACTCCTGGAAACCATTTATCTAGCCAGAGATACGGACGTTCCTCTGTCCACAGGGGAAGGAATTCAGAAGCTATATTCGCCCAGTGAGTCATTGAATCATATCATGTCTCGCACTAATGGAAATACATGTCCCGAATACTCCTGTGCCGCGACAGCTTACTTGAACGAGTGATATTGCACATTTGGTCTGAACCCGAATCACTTTGGTCGTGGATGCATGTGGACCTAGGTGGATCCTGGCGTCCGAAGGGCTACACGCTCCCCAGGTAAACTCATTTCTTTAAGAGAGGAAGGTGTTAGGATAATAGCTATTTAACGAGCTTAATAGCCATTCTTTATTCTTCCTATTTTCCACTTCTTGACTGTTGTTTAAACGCTACACCGTGTTAGCCCGATTGGTACACACACGTCCTTGTTAATGGACGCTCATCTCCGTGTCATCTTCAACAGTGCCATTTGCAAGAACACATTCCATTGGTTTTTCTCCGCATCACTTTTCTACTTGGTTATGTTAAAGGAATATTTAGTTGTCGCACAATTATTGTACTCATTTTTGACTTTTGGGTCTGCACTTCTTATTCTCGTTTGTTTCATGACATTTGTTCAAACGCTGCATTTCATTATTCTGTTTGGCCAGTGCCCGTCGCTGTAAATGGATGTTCGCTTTACGTTTGGGGTCCCATGATGCTACTTTTAAGGACGTATGCGATTCGCTCTTGATTACACAGTTGCTTATTCACCCGTTGCATTTGACGTTTTCCTTCTGTTGTTTGGTCCAAGTGTAATTTAGTAACTTCCCTTCATTTTGCCTTCAAAACCATATAAGCAAATATGATGTCATGTATACAAGTCTCTTTCCAGCTCGTCTTTGAACTTTTTCTTGCGGTCGTGGGGTGAAGACGTCAGTGGCATCACAACACTCTCCACAAATGATTAGCCTTGTTAATGATCCCCTTAATCTTTCCCAAACGGGCAGCAGCCAGTTAATCAATTTGTATGTCTACCTACGTGTAATGCAGTGCTCAAGGCGCTGCGGCTGTACACGCGATTCCATTGAGGGTACTGTGTACCCTATACTTACGGATTCAGTGCTATGCATAATTTCGTTCGCTTCTACCTTCTTTCCCCACTATTTTCTTCCATCCTTTGTGTTCTTTTTTGTTCCTTGACTTTCCATTCTCTCGCAGACAACTGGTGAGCTTACCTTGTCCGGGACACCTTCTTTGGAGCCCGGGTTTGAGGATGACATGACGCATCGTGCTTGGCGTATGCATTATTGGGTGCGTGACTCATACTCCTGGCCCCAAGTAGCCGTGCGGACGGAAAAGGTGTACTACGCAGCGCTCACCAGGAAGCCACCCACTCTGAGCGATCGCTTAAAGTGGTAAGCGGAGCTGTCCTCTGTTCGAATTTGTTATTGTTAACGTCTCCTTACCGATTTTTTTTCTCGCCGCCATGCTCCGTCACCCCACTGAGCCCTGTATAGCCATTGGTGAATCTCGTATTTGCTATTATGTCGCACTACTTTGACAAAACAAGCGCACCGCAACCTGTGTGAGTTCAGCAAGGGTAGATCCAGTGGCTGCTCGGCGCCGTATCTGACTGGAATACTTGCTGCTGCCTGTCCAACCTCAAATATCTAACCGAGCTGGCTCGCTTCTACTCTTGATCTCAACTGGTCCACTGTTCATTTTGCTACTTATTCCAGACATTATCAATAGGAACGACCGGCACACACTAACATGTTAGACATGTATTTAAGTTGGTATCTTCGTTACCTTGAACTGTAAATCACCGAAGTCTGTCTACTCTGGAATTTCACCGTTCGATGCGGCCCTTCTGTTGCTCTCTGTTGACACACTGACGGATTAGCTGGTCTCTCCGGGCTACATGCACCAACAGGCCATCAGTCACGAACTTGTTAGCAATTCGCGTTACGTATGATTGCGAATCTCGTCCTTCACACTGAGCTTTACGGCACATCTGTATCGGGGGGCATAGGTGTATCTCGGTGGACCGCTAACACGTTTCTTCAACAAACCTTTGTTATGCAACTACGCGGTATTTGCTGGTTATGTCCTTTATTCGATAGTCGGTTGCCCCGTTGTATTTTTTTCTATGGCTATGTAGTAGTATAAATGACCAGTTTCTCATCACGCAAAAAGCTGCGTCCACACTGCTCTTGCATGGCTGATATACCCTTTTCTAGGTGTGTTTCTCGTGCCGTATATCGCCCTCTGGTTTGTTTTTCATCTCAAATTGGAGAGTACTGACGGGCTTCGATGATGTTGCTGCCATCCGTAGTTGCGTAAAGTGTGTGAATTTCCTCTACTTATTAGTCGAAGCAACTTACCAGGCGCTTTCCCCACAGGAACATAGTCATAGTCTTGCAGAGATCGAGGTCACTTCCGAGCTTATTCCGAAATGTTGTTTCACTCTCGCACAGCTTGACTGTGATTTGCAGCCACTTTCACAAGACAGCACATATTGTTCGGACAAACTGAGATCCCATATTTTTCCATATACTTTTGTGTTTACAGTCCTTATCACGGTGCTCCCGGATCGAACTGCGATACAGTTCTAATGTAGGCAAGGTGGGATAGGCTTTTCGATGATTCAGATTGTACAGCAACACCAATTTGTGCTTTAGTATTCTTAGCCAAAGCGAGTCGAACTGAAGCTGTCGCCACCACCCCCATAGTTATTGTTAACGTTTTTGACTAATATGCGTTTGACAATCAACCTCTGTATGTCATCTAAATCTGTTTTGTTAGTGAACTCCTATGGGCTCCAGACTGGCTTCGCACCTTTTGCGCATCGGAAACATGAACTCAAATTTCTTCCCATTGAGCATCACGTCTTGAGATCCGGTTCCAACTTTATGATGTGTCTACCATTCCTCTTTTACCTCGTGGCCGATCACTTCAACCACTTTTCTTTATTCTACAAAGGGAATTACTTTGTTTTTGAGTTTGTTTTGTTCACATCTGGACTGACTGGTTGCCCTTGTTTGTGCGTTGCGTACTCATTCTGGTGAAAGTGTGCTGCAGCTCAAGCGTTTGGGCGGTCCAGAAAATTCGCGTCTTTTTTCTTTTTCTGTCCTTGCTACAGCCTCTCCAAATGCGGACGTGTGTACGGTCGAGCCTTGATGTTATTGGCGATGCTTCATTGGGCGTTCTTACAACTACTATCTTGGGTACGGCCAGTGCACGTAAGTGTGGTCTGCACACAAAACATTACCTTTTGAGCACCCTGTCTGGCAGCGCATTTGATAGGACCATTTGATTTGAGCCGTGTACTAGTATTGACAGTATGCCACATCTATCTTGTTCCCGATCATTTGCAAATGAAGATTCATTTTCCTTATCATTTATATTCCATTTCTATCCCACTGACAAAGAATCGCTTCACTTCACATTGTTAGGGACGTTGCTGTGCAGTTTGTGGCCTCGCAGTCATCCACCGCTGGACCATATGTGATTCGCAAATTATCAGCCGTCCAGATGTCGTATGTCCATCCACTGAGTTATTTCATCAGTGCCTGCATCCGAGCGGTTCAACCTTCGTTCCCCCTTGTTCTGCTCTTTAACTTCTGACGGGGTGTGTGCGGTACATCTTCACTACGCTTAGACCAAACCGACTTAGACAGTTCCAATACAGAGGTACACTGTGTTGCCTGCCAGGAAATACTGAACTCCACGATCAGTTTTGTATGCGTTTGTATTCGTCAGGTAGAGCAGCAGGGCTGGGACTTGAACCCGAGAATTCGGAATGTCAATCGAAGCACCTGCTCCTAAGCCACCGATTCGCGACGGGTACTGTTCGTGACAAAGGTTACTGACTAATTGGAGGAATCATTTCGAAGCACTCGATTTGTGTGCATGGCTTGCGACACGCAATCTCAATTTGGACCGGGATTCACATTCAACTTCCTTTTGACATCAGAATGGGCATAATTTATGAATTATGTATTCACATTCAATTGAACCTTGGTCATTTTGGCCATTGGGAGCAACACTATCCACCATGACCTCGGTTTCCGAGATCCGCTTCGATTTGAATCTTGATCCAGATTGAAACCGCGGGTGTTTACCCATTCACACACAACGCAAGCTTCAAAATGGCACCAACGAATGGCAACATGCTGTTTACTGCTTCATCGCTTGCATGTGGTTATTATTCTAGTCTTGTTACCGATTAAGCGCATTTCGGCCATGTGTTGCCACAGTTTTACTTTTCAACGAGCGACTAATATTTTGCCTGCTTGGTCTGTCCCACTCCGGAGTGAATCTTATGACTGATCTTCTTGTCTAACAAACGCAATTCAAGGAGTAGTTTTGGGATTTAGATGATGTAAGTTGAATTTATCATAACTAGACATGAGAGTTACACCGTCCGCTGCGCCACACTGCACCCCGCCATATCACTTCACTTCTATCGTCACTTGCTTCGCGGTCCATTGTTAAAAGTTGTGGATTCTAGCCCCTACGGGGGGGGGGTCTAAAGGAATACTCACTGCTGCTGATTCCTAAAGGGTTGAAACCGCCGTCCAGTACTTTCCTGGACGTGTGATATCCGTCGGAGTGTCCCTAATCATGCTTAATTCAATTTAGACGCAATTCAGTTCACCTGACTTGATAAGAATTACGCTACTCTACCAATGGTGTGAGTGTATGCACACAGACGAATGAGGAATCAAACACCGGCGTCCGCACCGATTTGGTCATCCACGCGATCGGAAACCCCAACTACCGTTTCAAGACACAGGATGACTGTTTAAGCAATGCTTGGAAATGCATTCCAATGTGCAACCAACACGAACCCTGTGTTTACTGGAAAATGGATGGACAGACCAATTTTTGCTGAGCGATCTACACTCGTCAGATTAGTACACTGGCTTATTGGTTCCACTTGGCCGGATATCGCCGTCTCCTGATGTCAGCGTGTGCCATAGCACCACGTCGACTCGGACCAAAAGGGTGCCTGAAGAGGGGGAGCGCTTCCTAGAAAGCGGTCAACTTGCTGCTTAAAGCATATCAGGTGTTGTTGATCGTGTGCTGGCTTGTGCTTGTTCTCTAGTGCGCAATCATCTTTACGGAACCGACTGTACATCTTTAGTTTGCATTCTAAGTTACACATTTTCAGACATGCTTACCGGGGTCATTAGTTCCACTTGCGTTTCCTGTCAACCTCACAATTTAATCACTGCTTACGAAATTTGACCCACTTGCTTTTTCTGCACTGGTTGCTTTGGTGGCTCTCATGACTCACGTCCTGTGAGTGCTGATGCTGGGGCTGACGCGACATACGATTCGCATTGTTGCCTCATTTGGGCTATTCTTTGACGAATTTCATGCACTTTGCCTCTATCTCCGTGTATTACTCTAGCTCTGGATGGGCTAGATTCGAGTATTGTCAAAATCCCGCTCGTCTGAAGCCACTCTGGCTCTCTGGACAATAATTTTTAAGCCAAGTAATCGCATTACAGATCTATCTCAGGTTAAGCCAATTAGCCTCGGTCTAGCGTCTTCTTTGTTCACATCCGTCGCTAACACCTCTAAGTCTTGGTTACTCGATATCACTTACTGACACATAATGTGTATTGCCAACCACTCAAACCCGATTTTGGGTGCTTCATCGCTCTTATGAATTCAGAACGATAGTGGTCTAAATTTGCTATCATTCGAAACACCGTTAGTTCGGGCTGGCTGTTAAGGTTTTCAGTTGTTCTCCCATCTAGGCAACCCAAGTACTACAACTACTACGACGCCTGAGTCATATACTGTCTGTACCGCCCAATTATTTGGTCCCCCAATATCGAGAAGTCCATGAGTAATTTGGATTTTCGATTTCAGTCATCACCTTTATCGTAGTTCCCTAGGTGCTGTGCAGCTGGCCGAATTACCTACCATCCAGTGACCCGCGGAATGGCCAATCTAGACAGCAACTCTCAATCCAGCCCATATCATACCTCAGGATAGCATGGGGAGCTGCATGCAGCAAATGGTAACTTCAGAACCTCACGATTTTTGGACACTAGTCGCTTGTCTATACTGCTGTTTAAAATGTTAGCCTTCGCGGAGCAGGTCTCCGTTCGATACATCTCCGTATGTCTTACTTTTCGCTTCCACATTTGATTACAAAGCCTCAGTCTGCTGTATCGCATTGAGCATGCACTACTAGTGTCACCTGAATGGGATGTCGGGTCTTGTAGGCGGGTTTCTTATAGGCAGCAGACATCGATCGTGTGGGTCTCTAATGTTCGTGTAAGTGCTGCCTGTTGACCGATCTGTAGTAATGTGCGTACCTTGAGGCATGCCAATCTGAAGAAGGATCGAACGCTTCCGCTGGAAGTTTAATTTGACATGGGCTTGTAACGCTTCCCTCCCTCTGCTTCCTGCCATACCAACCCAGCCGGCGACAAAACAGAACATCTAAGCCTGCTAGACCGAAGTGTATTAGGCACAGAACACGGTTCGTTTTCTAGATCACAATCTATCATCTGTTGTAAGTTCCTGAACTGACTCAAGCCACTTGCCCTGGACAGCTTTCAAACCTGCTAGCGGTCTGCACTGGCCAGCCGTCGTCATGCCCTGTCGCATAGCAACCCCAGTGATGATGACAGTCTGATTTCATCAGCTTCCGGCGTGACTCAGCCGTGCTGCCGTCGGTCGGGTAGCAACCACTGTCATACAGACACGTCTCGAAATCGTGTCACGTTCTTAGGCTGCGGCCTACTAGAGTGCACCATCATAGTCAGTCGTTTTGCCACCGTGACAGGGCTTGTCGACAGGGCAGGAGTAACACTGCTTTTTCGTGTGAATTAAAACTGTAAGATAAACGCCTATCAAGGCAAGGTAGGTGAGGGTCACCCATTGGATAGTTGAACACGAGGGGATAAAAGTGGAATTGGAACAAGACGATAAGGGCAAAAAAGCGTCAGAGAGGGAATAAGAAAATGGGAAGGCTTTAGCAGTAGCATCTACCTTGCTTGATGCAGTATATGGGGCACCCTTGATTATCCTCTGCGATGGCCAGATCATCAGCAACCGTTTGAAAACAAAGTCATTGTATTGTTTGCGTGGACAGGATACTGTCAGGTTACCCAAGCCTAGACATGATAATAATTACGGTTCTCAACTAAAGCCTTTGGTTCAGAAACCTGACTGCAAGGTGTTGGATTTGGCAGTGGGCTACAAAGGGTCCGTTTTAAAGATTAATGAGTAACCCTCACTCCAGCTCCTAACCCGGAGACTGAGCTAGTCTGGACTCTAACTATTAACCAAACACTTTAAGGAGCGATATAGTTTGATTACTCCTTTCACTTTTGCAAATTTCATGTAACCATACTGTGAGCATGGTACAATCGCGATCTCAAGCGCACCAAGCTGCAATACTTTGACTCTGCTTTCTCGTAATTCTCTAGCTTTTGAGGACGCAAATGAAGGAACACAGCCCCACGATGTATTGTAGTTCTGGCTCGTCTGCGATGTGTGTAAAATACTTTTTTGGATCTATGCGCTATTACCACAGGCAATGACACACATGTCACTTTCTCTTTCACAGATAATTGACAAAGTTCCCTATTTTGCTTACCCGATCGAAGAGGACACAGGTACCTCGCCTCTGGTCTGAGTGGATGAAAACCAACACTTATATTTCAGTCTCCAGTGGTGCATGGCCCATTGACCAACTTATTGTGGTCATCCTGCCTGTGAGACAAATTCTGACTTCCTATCATTGTCTTTCCTCCGTCGAGCTGCCATACCCAGTTGTCCTCATATTGGGCACACATCTGAGCACACCTTGCAGAATTTGGCTACCTGCTCATCGATACTCATTGTTTTTCCCTTTTCCTTATCTGATAGTGAGAGTAATTTGTTTCACATCTGACATACCTGGACACAAAAGCGAAGCTATTTACTCGCCGTTTTCTACAAAGTACCAGCTAATGTCTCTGGGTGACACCTCATGCGTGTACAATGGAACAGTGGTTTGTAACGGCCAAGAACACGCATTTTTAACAGGTCCATTAGGGTGGTCAAGGAGCGCAACATTGAGAACACGAAAACCGAACGAGCGAACAAACTCGAACGCCCATCAGTGAGACGAAAGGATAGTGGGCTAGTAGAAGATAGGTTGTAGCATCGGGATAGCACTGTGCACAATATCGTTACAAATTTCTATGACTGATGCTTCTTGTAGCTAACTATTAGATAACTCACCCACGTGCGCTGCTTTCGCGCGTCTTCGTGGATCAATTTCAAATAGGCTAAGCTACTGGAGTATCCGTACACTTATGATGGAAGCAACCACTTACTGTTTCATTTCGAGATACATTGGGCGAGTAAGCAGGGGTAGAATGACAGGTTGCTCCGTGACTTGTGCCTCCGTTGTACATGTAGTCACCAGCGCGCAGCTAACGTTCTAGTTTGCATACTGGGATTGAATGGGACGCCTCGTACCATTTCTAATGAGTTTCCAGTGCGTCGACACAACATACCGCATCAACCGGCCTCCATGAGGCGACACAACTGAGCCAGCCAAGTTCAGTCTCTCCAAACCTTCGATACTTTGTCTAATGATTCCTACTGCTATCCTTTCCGTACAATAGTTACTGCATGGCGAATTACATTTCTACGTTAAAATTGCAAATCATCATTTCTTCGCTGCATCATTCCCACCTCCCAGCATGGTTTTGTACAAGAAAAAAGGTTTTTGTAGTCTTTAACGATTTAGTAGGCCCGTCGCAGTTGAAGAATGCATTGCCATTACGTGGTCAGATAAATGAATATGTGCCACTTAACGTCGTTGTATGAAACTTCGTACCATATGTTTGCGGAACCGTTGTGATGCACCAAACGATGTTTAGCTTTTGCGCAACCGGTGTTCTAACTTTTATTGTTATAGCGCTTCGGGGGGTTATAGTTGTGTGTCGATTGACCTCACTTACACATGTCCGAGAGATACACGGGCCTACATCACTTTAATGCTCAGTTCCTTTCTTTCAACCCTCTTCCTGATGACGAGCCAATGCGGCATCGATGTACATATGTTTAGTCGATCTAGCTCACAGGTTTATCCGTTGTCAATTACTCCCTAGTTCGGCGCATTATGTGAATGTGTTGATACTCGAACAATGACACCTGTTTAACACTGAGATGTATGCGGCCGATAGTTTGGGAATAATTTGACCATGTCACTACACTGCACGAATGCGTTCATATAGCCTCTATCTATTGCGTGATCTTCCTGACGACACAGTAAGAGTAGCACTGATTGAAAGGTCATTTTGAAGCATTAGTTATGTGAATGGATTGCGACGCACAATCTCAATGTGGACCTTCATTCGCTGTAATACTGATGTTTCGGTTCATCATGGTGACGCCTGGGATACGTTCAGCGTCCTTTGATTGTCCTCTAAGCATACCGAAATGGCCGTAACGGAATATCTTTGGATCTATCAGTGGACTGTGGGATAAACCTTCGCGACGCCTTTCCTATACTCTCTGTTATGGGCTTCCTGATAAATATCCTTATAAGCGCTCTAAGCACAACTGCCCGGCATTAGTCCCATGGACAGATTTCATGCGGTAGGGAAAATAGCCCCAGTACTTCGCCATTCCTTATATTGGTTATCTGCACTCTTTATGCTCCGTTTAGCCTGCTGATAATCCTCACTGGTGCGGCAGATCTTTCACCTAAAGTCTACAAATATTTGAGAAATATCAACTTATTAAAAGCTCATGCAATGGTGGATGCTGACCGTAAGCCGTATTTCTCAATTTCCCGTGCGAATGCGCTACATTCCTGGCTTCAAACATCTCAGTACTGGCAACGCAGTAACACAGATCGACTGTACACAATCAACCAAGATCAGAATGGATACAATCAATGTTATGAAGTACTTAAATTATGCGTTATTATTCGGTTCCGATGCGCTGTCACCCTGTCGGCTTTTATTATCTGTCCTGCCGGCTGCATTCAGTATCCGATGCTTCATTTTATAGTTATTTCTTCCGTTGCACCGGGAAGGACTTTGGGAGTATGATGTCTGTAAACTGTATCATGTAGCCTACTTGAAGTACTCACCGACAACACCACGCGCGAACGGTGTAGATGACAAAGGTTATTTATTGTGTACGCCTTGCAAGCCAACCTGGCGAGCCAGCCATTTAGTCACGGTGAAAAACAAAATGTTTTCCGTAGCTTGACTAAAAGGATGACAACAGTTTGCGATAAATATTTAACCTGCGACGATGCGTTATAACACAGTTGGTACCAGCCATTCTCAACGGGGCCGTAAAGAATTCGCGGGGGCCCTGGGATGATAAAAATTTTTAGGGGGCCATAGGCGGCCATGCCGTAAAAAGTGAGTTGTGGTAACACAAATAACACATGCATTCAAAAAATTTTCATATAGCTTGTTTCACTGGTAGCTTGTCTCTTCTTATAACTACCAGTTAGTGAAATGAATTACGCGCGCGCAAGTGGCTCTACGAATGTGTGAAAGCCAGACCGAGCCAACTTTCTGTTGCGGAAGTATCCTAGCTCCGCCAAACATGCGCAGATTTCGCCGACCTCACCTCAAATATGTAATCACTATGCGGCGAATTAGATTGGGCAACTACCAACCGATTCGTCCTCAGGACTTTGATACCTATCCACAGTGAACCAACTGAGCTTTACTCAGGACGCTGGGCAAGCTGCAGTGAATCTTGCGAACTCTCGTCAAACTGCTGCAGCAGTTGCCGCACAAAGCCACACTGACAATATAACTGTATTTTCCTCCAGGCACTACCACGGTATGACAACTCATGTACAGGTCGGCCTTTCTCGTTCGGGTCTCAGTGCGGTAGGGCTAGGTTACGCGTTTTCCGTTTCCACTCTCAGCTCGCGTGCACGTCTGGCGGATAGGTCACATTAGCCTACAACATTCCGAATTCATGTGGATAGTCTGCGCGTGTGAGGTACTATCTCTGAACAGCGGTTTAAGGCGGTACAACTCGGGCGCCGACTTCAGTCCTGGGGAAAGTGGGCAGAGGTCACGGGATGCAAATCGTGACTGCCACTTCCAAAAGTCACCCGCAGGTCGATCACGCATTTACGATTCATTCAGTAGACTTGCATCTCACTGTACTGAGGATGCTACCTCGCATAGTAGCACGTTTGCTACAAAACCGCTAAGCTCAGAGAGCAAATAAACAGTTTAATCTGGATCGGTCGCCTGCGCTAGTTGCCAGCGTCTATACTCCCCACACTGGAGGTTAACCATGGCTGCGTGTTGCACGGAGGACAATCCCCATGGTCCGGAAGCGGAATTCGGGACAATGCGTCCGCGTTAGCGTGCTGTCCGCCTGGCCGATGTTTACATACCAAATCATATTCCTGTAGCTGTTCTTCCCAGCGCGCGATTTGTTCTTCGGGATCCCTGAACTTTTGCAGCCATCGATGGGACTGATGTTCATTCCGCACGACAAATCTCTTTCCAAGTAGATAATGCCGATTATATTTTATGAAAAACACCAAAGCTAACATATTTCTGAGAGTGCGATAAATTCTCTCATTCGAGCTGAGGCTCCTACCACTGTAGGATACTGCTCTTCCTATTCCGTCAGGACCTTTCTGTGACAAGACAGCTCCAATCGCTTGGTCACTGCATTGGTGTCCAGAGTGAATTCTCCGGCCGAGGGTGATAATTCAGGGTATACTACCACAGGGGCCGTACAGAGAGACTCAGAGAGCCGATCACATGCGTCCTGACATTCGACTGACCACACAAACGTCCGACCTTTTTGCAACAACACATTCAATGGAGCGGCAATGGTGGAGAAACTTTTGATGGATTGTCTGTAATATGAAACCAACCCAAGAAAGTTGCGTAACTGCTCAGTGCATATAGGGGTTAGTCACGACTACTTGTTCTGTCTTGTGGGGGTCTGTTCGTATACTTGACCCCGAGATGATATGTCCGAGATACATCACTTCTTCCCGTAGTAAGTGGCACTTCGCTGACTTGGGTTTGAGAACTACCTCGATTACACGTTTCAGTACTTCGACCAGGGTTGCTCAAGTGCTCCTGCTTCGTCTTCCTGTGCACAATAACATCGTCCAAGTAAACGAGACACTTTCGTGGAATCAAAACACACAATACAGTCTGCATCAGATGATGGTATGTTGCGGTGGTGTTTCTTAACCCAAATGACATAGTTTGCAATTCGTACAAGCCAGGAGGCACGACGAAATCAATTTTCGCTCGGTCGCTCTCTGCCACTTCCACTTGCCAGTAGCCGGAAGCAAGATCGAGTTTGCTAAAACACGTTGAACCACCAAGTGCATCAAACAAATCATCGATTCTGGGGAGAGGAAAAGCGTCCCGCCGCGTTACTTGATTAAGACGCCTATAATCCACACAGCCGGAGATCACCATCTTTCTTCTTCACCGGAACAATGGGTGACGCCCATGGGGAAGTGGAGGGATGGACGATATTTTTCTCAGGCACTTCATCTATCTACCTCGCTTTGCCAGTGAGCTGGAATACGTCTCGTTGGACACCTCACAGGTTTGGCATCGCCGGTATCGATGGTGTGCTGCACGATAGCGGTGCGTCCAATATTCCCTGCCCCGTGTACGA